CTAATCTGTTTATTCCATGTCATTAAATATAATATCATGTCATTTTCCAACTAGTTGTATACCTAATGAATCTGGTTGTCTCTAATGAGAATTGAACAAAAACGTAACTTGGTTGGGCTTTTTTCAACAAACAAAACACGATTTGTTTTTTTTGAACGGTTTTGAAATTCCGTTGGTTTTACAAGTCATTTTCCAATATTAATTACACGTCATAAGTCATGTCATCTGTTGACTTTTATTAGCCGGTTGATTCTAAATGAGAAGTGTAAATTAGTTGGGTTTTTTAAACAAAATGTTAAATTCGTTTGGTTTTCTTAAACATACAAAAGATACTTGAGATTTTTTGAACGGTTTAAAAATTCATTGGATTTATAATTGATTTTTCTTATGTTTTTATCCGATTTTACGATCTGTATAAATAACTAACACATTAAATATAATTAGTTAATTATGATAACTATTATAAAATAATAATATATTTTCTTTTGAATATATTAATTTGGAATGTTGCAGACACATTATCATACCTTCGACAACTTCTAAATCGTTGAATTGTTGAAATTTATTATAATAATTCGTAATAGTGAAAGAATAAAAGTAGCAGAGAAGAACTAACTAATGACACTTTACACCCTCGGTTAGTTTTGCCGTCTCAAACCGTTATAAAACCTCATTATGAATTTCTCAGCAGCCTCGTCCACTTCAGCATCTTCGTCATCATTACTCACCGGAAACGGTGAGTCTGTTATCCTCAGCTGCTTGACCATATGACTCTTCCTGGATCCCAGCATTGCCGGCGACGCCGTGGTTGTCAGCATATCAAGTGCTTTCAGAAGTTCAGAATCAACGCAAATGTTATCAATGTCGTCTACACAAGGCGACACGTGAGTACTGGGAATCGAAAGGTATTTGTTTTGGTTCTTGAGGGTGGAAAAGAGGGAGACTGAGTTCGGAGGGGTGTTGCTGCAGCTCATGAATTCGTGTTCTCCAGAGGGGAGGTGGTGTAGGTGGTTGTGGGATGTGGGTGAAACCCAGTTGTGGTGGTGGTGGAACAGAAGGTTGTGTAAGGCTTTTCCGGCGATGTTGCCACGCTTGATCACAGCGAAGAATTTAGTCTTGGAAATGCCCTTCTTCAACATGGAGAACATGACACGAATCAAGCTCCATACTTTCTTGGCCATTACCGGTAACTTCTGCTCCATTCTCTCTCTAGGGTTTTGTTGATTAAAATATTTTTAGAGGGAGAAGGAAAGAAGTGTCCGGTTTGTAATGAATAATGATTATGGGTTAAAGGAAAAGGAAGGGAGGAGGGGTATTTAAACTAAAGGCATAAAATTGGTGGGTGGTTTTCTCATTATTTATGTGGCACATAGTAAATGCAAATCTATGGTTTAGATCGGAGTTGAAAATTAAAAAGTTGCAAAGTTGCAAAAACGTCATCTATGAAAATGACTTGTACATAATTGAAGGACATTTAAAAGATACAAGTTAGAATCAAGGAGTAAAATGGATCTTTGAAGTTGGAAAAAACCGACAAAAAAATCAACTAAAAGAAAAGCCTTGAATCAAGAATATCGTGCTTAGAGGTTGTTGTGATTTCATTTTAAAACTACTTTTTAACTTTGTTGGATTTTTGAAAAATCGGAAAAAAAAATGTTTGGCAAAAAAAATGACATTTAAAACAATTTCTTTTTAACCCTTGAAAAAAAATTAAGAAACAACTTCTTTTTAACCCTTTAAAAAAAATTAAGAAGTTAAAATGTCTAACTTTTCTAAACTTCTTATGAGTCGTTGAGTTCTCAATATTATCTTAAAATAACTTTAAGCTATAACAAACATTTTTTTTTAAAACAGTTTATTAACTTTTCTTCGTCATAAAAACTAATCCAAATACATTTTTTAAAACTTCTTTTTCTACTGCCACAAGTTAATAACTCATTTTGTTTAAAATTCCTTTTGAGGAATAAAATAAAATCCCACACACCCTCTTAAAAGATCTAGAATTGAGAATAAGTAAAACATTATTATTACCTATAACAAGTTAACGGTTTCAACAAATTGTAATTGAGATCTTTGTTGTCGGTTTATCACTGCATTTTAATATTTCTAGTTCAAAATATATTAATTTAGAGATAACCTAATAAAAACTCGAACATATTATCTTTTAATATATAAAAAAATATTATGTTATTATTTTATAGAATAAAGCAATTTTATTTCTAGTTATGCCTAAAATAATGTTTTATATAACCGATAAACCTTTGACAATCGGTTAGCTACCGTTTGTGGCTTTATAAATAAATAAATAACTCAACCTATTATTCTACAATGGACGGAAAAATCATATGTTATTAATTGGTTTCGTCCAATAAAACCATTATTTTATGATTTTGTGCAATAAGACATTTATTTGCCTTTTTATGTCCTTTATTGTTCTCTTTAGAAATTATAATTGGTAAAAAAAAATTATTGATTCCACTACTGTAATTGTTATAAATAATACAAAGTAACTCTAACACAACTTGATCGTTGACAAAGCTATTGGAAAATATTTTTGTATGACCGTTATTGAAATAAGATGAAATGCTTTTAAAAGTCTAATAGATTTCAGACATTCGAATTCCAATCTCAAAAATATGCAAAATACGCAAAGTTTCATGAAATGCAGCAACAACAACAACAACAATAATAATAATAATAATAATAAAAACGCCAAGTATAAAGATATTGTCGAATCTTGTATCATGTTCGAGTCAAGATTAAGCAAATATGGTATTCAGCTGGGACGATAAATAAAATAATGACACTTGGATGGACAAGAATTTAAACCTACACTAGGTTTCAAATTTGATATCGTCACAATAGTTAATTGCGGATGCATTTTAAAAGAATTTAAACCTAAACTAGGTCAAAATAACTCGAGTTTGTCGTTCGGTTTTGTTAGTTCGAACAAATTTCACAATACACGATCATGGAGGTAAATGTTCTTCATGTTTCGTAATAAAAATACAGTTTGCCATCTTTTCTAAACTATATTGAATTATAAAAATCAGACGAAATTATTGGTTAATAAAAACATGGAATGCCAGCATATTAATATATTGTTTCTTACTTTACTTAGCAAAGGAGGTTTGCCACCATGCATGCATGATTTTGTAGGTAGAAATTTTCACGTATGGGTATATAACTATATATAGTAATTACTTATGTGCAAAATTATTGGAACTCGTTTTGCTTGATGGGATCATGACTTCATGAAACATCATATACACCAATCACTTTAATTCCACATTATAGTATCCATAATGTTGAATTTAATGGGAGAATTGAATAAGATGGCAAGTCTATTTGTTATTTAATGGATTAAACTCTATCATAATGAGATGGCACACATTAGCATTCAAAGGATTTGAAGTTTAATTACTAATGAACTCTTCAAATGATCCACAAATTCCATCGTGAAATTGTGGATTTGTTGACCAATTTTACAGTGGTCGTACTTAACGACTTTTACTTTGCATGGATTTGTAGACTCTTTGGACATGGTTTCATGGTTTGTTCAGTTATCACTCTGCATGGAATTACTCGGTGTTATAAAACTCGCTGAGTTTGCCGATTACTCAGCCGAGTGTCCCCTACTCGGACCATTATCGAGGCGAGTTACAGAATCTGAGTTCTCTTCGATTCGCTCCTTACTGAAGTGAGTAGTGTTGTAAAATTGGCCAACTTGGCGATTAATATGTATAATATACTTAATGGTTTGTTATTTAACACACACACACACATGTGATTATTACTACACATCTTAAATTTTCAAGAATTATTCACGAAGTAAGACCATTGTGTGTTTTTCAGTTTTTGTATACTCACACACACACACACACACACACACACACACACACATATATATATATATATATATATATATATATATATATATATATATAATTTGGTTATATATTTCAATCAACTTATGATTTTGACATATATAATTTCCCTAAAAATATTTCTACATTAAAAAGTACTTCTCGAATATTCCTGAGTAGTCGCTACTCGGCGGTAACAAGTACCGAGTAGAAGTTCCACAACATTTGACTTACTTGGAATAGATTCGACTCATCCTTATTCATATTTCGCTACAGACCATACAATGCATATTTGGTCCTATATTATCATGACATTCTCCTTACGACTTCATCCACAACCTTCCTCATGGTTATTATTACCATTCTCAAGATCGACCTTGATGTTCTTAGTAATTTTGTTGGTATCAGTGTCACTCCTGATTGACCTTACATGTTCTAGAGTCAATGTATGTAAGCTATTGAGACTCTTGTGTGGGCCAATATACCCAACTACAAGCCTGCTCGCACCCTGGCCAACACACTTGCTAAGATCAACAATTCATGTGTCCTAGTTGTAAACTTAATATAGTCGAATGATTCAGCACCTTACATTCACTCGACCAAACCTATCCCATGATGTCTAGTAGATGTGTATTTACATGTATGACCCATAAAAGCTCTGTTTTACGATGTTCAAGTGTATTCACTGATACTTATGTGTCGCCATTGGTCGTAACATTAGCATTTATGTATATCCTTGCAGGTTGATTGCTTGCTTTGATGTTGAGTACGACAGTTGTCCGATCGATCAACTTGTGGTTATTGTGTTTTTTCATCTAAAAGGTAATGTTTTGCTCTTCAAAACAGCAAGGTATTATATTTTGCCGATTCCATTCCATTGTCGAAGCTAAGTACCACTGGGTTGCTACTGTAGTTGTCTAAACGTGTTGGCTTTGCAACCTCCTTTGAGAGCTTCACTACACGCCTTCATGTGCCACTAGTGCAGTTATCGAAAGGTGTTTGCTTTGCAACATCCTTTTAAAAAACGATGTATATCTATATAAAAAAAAGTTTTCGAAAAAAGGCAAGAACAAAACAAGAGGAGTTTTGTAAACCCAAATAAATAGCATAGCTACAAATAAAAACACAAAATCCGTACAATGTGATACATAAGCACTAGTTACCTTCAAAACATTTCAAAAGACAATAATCCACCAGTCTGACAAACTGTCAAGAGTTTTTAACCAAAACACCTACAACGTTAAATAAACGACCAATTAATGAACTTAAAGCAAATGCAGTGAGCGCTTTCTTCTTCATTCAACACTTTCCATGCCACCGCTCTCTCATAAGAAACCGGTCTCCCCATGCTTGATGAACACACGCCCCCTTGAAGACACGCAAACCCCTGCCACCAAACACAAAAAAAAACTTACTCACATATATCCAACTCTAGCATTGTACTTTCACTAGTCACCTAAAAAAGTATAAACCTGTTGCATTATCTGTGCAAACTCCGCAAAAAGACCTTTTCGCCCATGCTCATCAAGAACTTTTTCCAAACTGATGTCTTGAAGTGCAACTAGTGTTGTCTCGAGCATATCGAATCCCGCTTGGTTTGCAAATGTGAATACAGGCATTGCCTGGACAAGAATTCCTATTAGTAATGAGCTTGAATGATTCGGGATCAACTTTCTTAATGATTAAACCATTATAATTTTTTTTACCATTTAAAAGCAAAAGCTATAAATTTTCTTGCTCAACTACCATACAAAACAGACCTTAAGAGAGCAGCACATGATGGCATCCGGGTGGTTCCAGAGTGATTTCAGGATGTATTCGCTTCCTTCACCTACACACTTAAGAAGCTCCACACCCAAATAGCAACTACAAACAAAATTCAAAAACAATAAAATCAAAGTAAAAAAAGAAGGGTAAAATCGACTTTTCACACAGCACACCTGTAGCTACGGCAAATCCATCGAGCTAGAACATGTGCTTCAGGGGCGCCAAACTGAAGCCCAACATTGGGGCCCATATTAGGAGATAGGGCTGACGCGACCCTTTGAACCGATGATATAATGCCGCGAACATATTGGCGCGCAATTGCCGCCACGTTTTCTTGCATGTGGCTTTCGAATGCGAATTCAAACGCCATTGTCATCAGGGATCTTGAATTGCCACTAGCAATGTTACGATCATTTGAAATTTTAGGCCCGGATCCTCTGATTTCGAGAGCAGAAGCAAGATCGAGGGTACGATTGGGAGTGGAAGTGTCCTGTGTGTTTTGAAGCCGGAATTTATTTTAAAAAATAATGGAAATAACCCCAAAAGTGATATCGATATCGACTCTTCTAACCTTGATTGGATCGAGAGGAATGATACGAAAACCAGAGGGTAAAAGAGGCGCATCGTCAGCAAAAGAAGCGTCTATTGGAGCAAATATGAGTTCCGCACTCATGCCAACTGCATTCTCATCCATTCCATTGCATAACTATAATAGATAGTAAGTAATTACAATAAGATCGCATTGTTAGGTCATTGTACTTTTTGTTAAAAAGAATCTTATTAGGACATTATACTTTAAAGAATCAACCAAATTAAAGCATTGCAAATTGCTTTGTATTTGAATGACCATGGCTAAAATTGAGTAAATTTTTGGATGTTAGTACAATGTTGTAATAATAAGATATGAAAATAGAATGCTATAATAAACAATGTACATTGCTATTTTTTCCCTTTTATCAATTTAGTCATTGAAGTATTATTATAAAAATGATTTAAAAAATATGTTAATGCTTTTTTGTATTTCAACCTTTTTCTAGGTAAAAGCAAAAAAAGACCGTTTAAAATTCAGAAGGTTAAAAAAGTATAAATGTTTGACCACTACAGAAAATAGTCTAGTAACTAAAATTTGATAAAACTGTGATAATGCGTTGTGTTTTTCTGTATTTTGCCCAACGAAAAAAAAAATAGAAAAAATAGAAAACTTACTTGTAGGAGAAACATGTCTCTCGGCATTAAAGCATCTTCAGGACAATGCCCAATTCCCTCCATCTTAATAACCTCCAACAACTACAAAACACAAAGAAAGACTAGTAAATAATAATCAAACAAACACTAGTACACTACAACATAACATTGTAAAATTACAAAATTTACCAAACATAAACTAATAATTATAAAACAAAAACTCAACTCACCTCTTCATGCTCAATCGTGTGAGCAAGTGGAAGAATCACCTGACCCCCAAAATTACCAACCCGGGACCCAGCAAAACTACACGGACCGAGTTTAACTGATGCAGCCGAGTAAGCATCAAAATTGTTATCTGCCCATTCCGATCTGTGCTCTCTCAAAAACCTAAGTAGAAGAGCTGGTGGAACATTCTAGAAACATATAAAAAAATCTTATCATCAATAAAACAAAAAAAAGGTCAAACCACACCACAACCACTCCAAATTTGTTGGTATCTAACCTGTAAAAGCATTGATGCCTTTGCACACAAGACAGAATTTGTAACGGGTGGGTATCCGTTTGCAAAAGGTAGATTTAATCCCATAAGTTTTTCGGGTGAAGAATTGACTTGAATGGTGACATCATCGACCCCATCATTAGCAATTAATGACCAGCCTTCATCTGTAAACCCGTTTAGAGCTTCATTGAAACCTCTGCTTAACCTCTGGCTAAGTGCCCTTAATGCTGCCGGTCGTCTGCCCCAGTTAGAGGCACCCGATTGTGAAACTTCAAGAGATATTTGCCTTAGCTGGCGTAATGCCTATTCAAGCACAAAATTTTAATTTCTTGAAATTGTATTATTAAAAAGTTTAATGTGTTTAGTGTTGTTTACCATCATTGTTGTTTTTTGAGCAAGCACGGTTGAAGATTCGTATAATGGACGCAAGACTTCGGGTACACTCCACGCCTACGTAGCAAAAACAATGATACAAGTTTTGGTTAAATGCAAGAAATAGCATTGTACTTTCGGAAATATATATATATATATATATATATATATATATATATATATATATATATTAAAACATTGTGTGTTAAATTTGTTTTTTATTAGAGCATTGTACTTTGAAAAATCTACCAACTTATATGGAAATAAGTAAATCAATACCTTCTAAACTGTTCGCCCCATTAGCTATAATAGGTAGGTTTTTCAAAGTACAATACTCGAATAGAAAGTAACTAAAAAATAAAATTACGTAATAAGAAAAAAGCGAAGCACAATCTATAATACAAAAATTAAATAATAATAATAATAATATAAATAATAATAAATAATATATATACATTACTATTTATTGCATTTAGCTCATGTATTTCAAAAATGTAATTGTTAACCAATTATTTTCATTATTTTTATTTTCTTGCAGTTAGCCCATGCTATAACTAAACCATTTTAAACATGATATTACAAATAAATTAATTAATTAGTTACATATTTTAACATTACAATTATCATTTAATATTTTTTGTTAGTTGAATGATTTCTTTTACTTTTTAAATTCAATGCTGTGTGGATTAAATATGTTAATTAAAGAAGCCATTTCCCTTTATTAAAACATTTAATATGTAAAACAAAAAAAAAAAAAAAAACACACACACACACACCCACATAGGAAGAAGAGATTTTAAAACAAAAGTGAAGTATTGTCGACATCGATTGATAGTAAACCAAAAAATAAAAACGCAATTGTAATGCACAATAATTATACATACATTTAGTTAAAATAACAATTGTATGTTCATAATAATATGAACTAAATGTAAGAAAAAGTAATGTACTAAATTTTTATCTAATTTTTTACAACATTAAATTAGCTTTAACTAGAGCCTTGTACTTTAAAAAAGTACACCCATTCTTGCATTGGGTAACCCATTGCCATAATTGAGTAGATTTTTCATGGTGCAATGCCCTACTAAGAAACAAACTGAAACTACAATTCTATAATTAAAAAATATAAAAAGTACATTACTATATTTTTGCAATTATATTTACCTCTAAATTCATATGATCAACAATGTGAATGATGGAACCACCACCTTCACATGGTCTAATGAGGTACCCGCTAGCCAGCATTTCGGCTCGCACAAAATTTGGGACTGACGGTATGCTCGGACCATTTTGCGTGTTATTTAGCGATCTTTCACAAATCTAAACACACATATATAGACCAAATAAATGCTCACAATATGAGTATAAAAAATAACACAAAATTAAATAAACAATAAATTAAAATTAATCACCCACCACTAAACTGCCATCTTCTGTAACAGAAGTATAGCGCAACAACAAGAAGTCACGAGCCGTAGCCAAAGTTGTAGGAGCATAAAGCTAAAACAAAACATCAATTAGGATAATTATAAAATTGACACTAAATCGTATTCTTTTTTTTTAAAAAAGACACATGATTTTTTGGGATAATTAACCAAAACGACCGGTAAAAGAAAAGTGTTACCTGCATGTATAAAAGCTCGATGGTTCCACCATTAGCGGTTGGTAGCACATTGAGAGTATCAACAGCTCGGCAATCACGATACCATGAGGGGCGATCCTTGAGGATTTCCACAACCTTAACACACAATTACAATTGTCACGTTTTTGGTCAATGAAAACAAATTACAAAATTACAAAATGACTTAACTAACCCTTGATGGCTCGAGAGCAACCAAGCCACACGCTCGTGCTGCCACGCCAGTGCAACCATGAGAAATAGCAACGATTCCAATGGAATCCGGACCAGGCTATATCAATAGTAAAAGAAATATCACTCACTATATATATATATATATATATATATATATATATATATAGGTTTATTGACATTTTAATGTTTGTAACTAGGGGTACCTTCATTCCGGGCATCTGGACCCACTCAATTGCGGTTCCAGTTGCCTTCGAAAGAAACTCTGTTAAAGTTTCTTCTGCAATGGACAAAAGTCTGCATAACATAAACATATTAATATCAAAAACATTTAAAATTAATGATTCGTTAAATAAAAAATATATATAAAGTTATAAATTATGAAATTTATCAAAACGCACCCTGCAGGACTAGCATCCCGTGGTGGGTGCTTGGGGGTCAATCGGTGTTGACCATTAGTCACAACCGATTCACAACTAGTGTCTTTAGTAGCAAGTGTAGTCTGCAAATATCAAAATTCAACAGATTATAAATTATTCACGATAACAACAAAAACAAGGAACAAAAAGTAAAATATAAGTTCTAACATTTTGAGTGTGCTGACGGAAGCAGCCATTCTCATACACAAGGTGTGACACTTGTTTCTGCAATCTATCATTCTCTTCCATTAAAAGCTTGTTCATGGCAGACAGCTTTCGATTCACAGTTTGAAGGCGTGAAGCTTCTTTCCTTTGTTTTTCCCTACATCTAAAACACGAAAACCCATAAATCGTTAAAGCAAAATGGCACCAAGAAACGAAAGTGGTGCAATTTTCTAGATTGTGAATGTGTAGCGTTTACCTTCGATTCTGGAACCAAACTTTGATTTGTTTGGGTTCGATGTTAGAGAGAATCGGGCATTCACGAATGAGTTGCTGACGACGAAGAGAACTCGGTTTTGGACATTCATGGTAGAGTCGTTCGAGTGCTTCAACCTGCTCCGGTGTGTAGCGAACATATTTTCCGTTATCCATCATCGCTCCATTACCATCCTTGCAGGACATCGACATCATCACTCGCACTTGATAATTTCAACTAAACAAAAATCGCAAGCTTTTTTCACTTAGAACAAGTCAAAATAATAACTTAAAACCCTTTCGTTGTGATGGACTACGTTCACAGGATCAATAAAAAGTATTTCGCTTAACCCTTCTTCTTTTTCTTCGCAATCACACCCTTTTCTGAGCTTTTGATTCTGATGCTTTCAAACCCGAAAGAACAAACTAAACACACAACGATCTGCATCGCTCTCTAGCTAGCTCTGATCGTCCCTAACCTCTGAAACATGTTGATTTCTTGAATATTTTACTTGCTAAGCATATGAACACGTGAAGATTTCATTTTCTACGGCAAAAATGATGAGGGTATGGGAGTAAATGGAAGATCTTTGGGGAAAGAGATTCTTTGAAAGGGAATTTTCAGGAGTTTTTAAGAAACCCTAGTCTGAAAAGAGGAAAGTGAAGTGGGGTAAACTAAAAAGATAGACTGTTTGGATTTGTTGTTACTTCATTTGCTGTCTGGCTGCTTTAGCTGTTGTCCGTCTACTGTATCAATCTTGATTTCAAGAATATATTTTTTGAATCTCTTTGCGTCTTTTGCCATACCACCCACCCCACCTCCCATGCTTCCCTCCATCCCTATTGTAGATAGCCCAAAAATTATCCTTTAATTACAAACTTGCCATTTGGGTAGTGAAAAAGCAATTGACGTGGATGGCAGATGATGTAAATGTAGGAAGAAAGAAGGGGGGAAGATGAGGATCAGAAATAGGTTCATGAAAACGGGAGAGAGAGGGAGGGCAGAGGTTCCGTGGGACAAAGAAGACATCATGATTGATAATTTTGCATGCGGCCTTGATTCTACCTCTTTTTGTGTTTTTCTTTTTAATTTTTGAAACCTTTTTATCTGTCTTTTATTAATATTATATTCAATTTAAACTTTTAAAGATTTTATTTTTTTTTATTTAGCGTAAGTTATTAGGTTAAAAATGACAAACCTGTCAAATTGATCGGGTCCAAAAAGTTTTCAATTTGTATGGAAGGTTTAAAATTAAGAATTTTTTTTTTTTGTTTTGGTCCATGAAATTTTGAAATGATTATTTTGCCCTTGTTATTTATTTTTCACATTTTCTTTATTTGTTTTAATTGTTTTGTAATTAAAAAAAAATCAGAGGACGGCCCCACCCACTCTCTCTCTCTCTCTCTCTTTCTCTCTCTCTCTCTCTCTCTCTCTCTCTCTCTCTCTCTCTCTCTCTCTCTCTCTCTCTCTCTCTCTCTCTCTCTCTCCTGGAAGCCTTTCTCACAGATCTCTGAGTCCATGTTCTTTAAAACCCTATCAACCATGATATAAACCCTAACTTAGTGTATAGAAACACGAATCGCGATTGGTGTCTCCGGTCTCCTTCTCAACCTTATCTATTTAGATTCACCATGAACTGTCGCAATGAACCTAAATGATGTTCCAAGGCTTTCACCAGAAGATATCGCCGGAATGATAGGTCGGACAACTGTGAAATATGATTTTGTAGATAGAGAATGGATCGGAAAACCCGATATAATGATAGAACATTATACAGAAGACGAATGGAGATCGTTAAGGAATCAAACTCCCATAGGGTCTGATCAAAACCATCCTTCCTACCCCTTCTAGTTAAACCCCTTTTCGACTAATGCATCCCTCTTCTTTGTTCATTTTTTGTATCTATCTCTTTTCATCTCGATTTAATTATTTGACGGGTCTGATGGATGCTTATGGTTGAAATGGTGGATTTGTATCTTTGTTACAAGTTTTCTGGTCTAGAAATGGTGAAGAAGACTAGGTGGGGAAGAAGACGGAATGGGGCCATTTGAAGACCAGATTGAGTTCAATTCATGTAGGTATAACACATCTAAAAACCGATGGTGGCGATCTCCGAACAAATCTTACATTGCAGAAAGAAAAATAGGCATTGTTATTATCTTCTTTCTCATCTGTAAAGATCGTTCTTGTTGCATCTTTTTATACCCTTAGACCATTCATGGAAATGGTTTAGATTTAAAGTTGAAAGAATGGGGAATTGAATGATATAAGAAGAAAATAATGTGAAAGATTACTCAGTAAAGCTGCAACCCATGAACATAAAGTATGGTGGATGCCCACCAAGTGTTTGATCTTTTGTCTGAATGATCTTTCCCTACTACAACTTGTAGTTCTTAGTTATGTTCATTGATTTTCAGTAATTTTGCTTCATAAATTTATGTTTAAGCCACAATTGGGTATTTAAATTTCTTGAAGCACTTTTGATAAAGTACCTAAATCAAAAACGGGTGGTGGTGCCGTGAGAATGGCTTGAGAGATAGAGAGAGAGAGTGAGAGAGAGAGAGAGGGAGGAAGAGGAGGGAGAGAGAGGGAGAGGGAGAGGTGAGAGAGATAGAGAGAGTGGGGTGGGTCGTCCTCCGATTTTTATTTTCTTTTGCTTTTTTTAATTACAAAACAATGAAAACAAATAAAGAAAATGTGAAAAATAAATAATAAGGGCAAAATAGTCATTTCAAAATTTCAAGGACCAAAACCAAAGAATATTCTTGATTTTGGACCTTCCATGCAAGTTGAAAACTTTTTTGACCCCATCCAAAGTTTTTTGTAAACCACAAGGACCAATTTGGCAGTTTTGTCGTTAAAAACTCATAAAATTTACGGTTGATAATTTTAAATAAAATTAAACTTTTGATTGTATAATAACATAATATCATTAGTTTAGAAAAAATCATGAAATGTGATATTGTATTTTTTTATTAATTTTGTAATTTGTAAGGATTTAATAAGAATGTGAATCCAACCAGTGGCGGAGCTAGATAGGGCGTTGGAGGTACTACAGTACCCCCAAAATTTTATATATATATATATATATATATATATATATATATATTATTTATAAATATTTTTCATTTTATTGTACCCCAATTAAAAGGATTATAACATGTTTTTTAATATCTGATATTGAGTAACTACATATAATATATATTGACAATATTTGTACCCCCATATGAAAATTCCTGGTTCCGCCACTGAATCCAACTATTTGATAAAAGTCATGAGTTTGTATAATGCAACATATATTTGAGTAAAGAGAAATAAACACAAAAAATCATTGAAATTCAGTTGCTATAAAACAAACAAAACCTTTCAGTAATGTAAGTAACATAAAAAATACAAAACATTATGATACATTAATTAATATGATGGATGAAGTTTATTTACTAAAAGTGACTAAAACATGCTACAAAAAAGTTTGTTATAAATTTCGAAAAACTTATAAACAATTGTGGAAGTTATTATTTGTGAGTATATCATCTTTATCTAAAATTAATGATTTTAATTTCTCTGTTTTGAACTCTAGATAATGTAGCATACAATTGGTCATGTAAAAAAATAGGATCTTTGAGAAACAAACCAACATTGGATAACGATTATCCTTGACTCTTATTAATAATCATTAAAAAACATACAACCAAAGGAAATTGTCTTCTTTGGAATTTAAAGGGAACTTTTTTTCTGATGGACTTAAACACATTCTTTGAATAAAAGTATGGTTTCCAATATTAGTTCCAAATATTATATATGCCTCAATGACATGTTTTCTTAATGATATTGTAATGTCCCAAAATTTAAGACTAAAAATTCTTCTAATTATCAATCCATAACATAATCAGAGTATTACTTCCAAAACATATTTTCATTATCAGAGTAAAACATTCCCAAGCTGTCTAATCTATGGTGTGTGCCATGCGATCACCCCGAGTTCTTCCCTCCGCTACCGGAAGTACCTGAAACCAAAACTGAAAATCGTAAGCACGAAGATTAGTGAGTTCCCCAACCTACCACATACCATGCATAACCACATACTGGGCCACGCCCGCTATTCTGGGCCTCACCCCCTTACCTCGGGCCTCGCCCGCTTCAACGGCTCCGCCGCTCCAGGCCCCACCTGGCTTCGAGCCCCGCTCGGACACAGATCTATTTCACTTAGGCCTCGCCCACTAACATATAATAGCACATAAACATACCACAACACATAAGTTAAACATATACTAATAGATCATGTCCTAAGGCCTCGCCAATCCTAGGCCTCGCCCTCGTCCTGCTACTAATGAGTCATGGAACCCCGTCCACGCTTCTACTAATAGTGAGATACGGGCCCAACCCACACTCACTATTTCCCTAACTTGGGCCTCGCTCCTGCTCTGTTGCTAATGAGATGTGGAACACCATCCACACTCTGCTATTGGTGAGATATGGGACCTCGCCCACACTCACCTCCCTACCAGGCACATATAAGTATCACACAGACAACAAGTATAAACTATCATATAAACCATTCCTTGGGCACCCGTACGCTATCATTAGACCTCGTCCTGAATATCATACTAGCATACTGTGCCTAGGGCTAACCCCCGGGTCTTCTACTCATAACTACATGGGCCGACATTGTGGTCTTAGACCTATTCACACCAAAGGAAACTCACCTACACTTGTTGAACTTGTTGATACCCCTCTGGCTGCTGCCCGACAACTCTCTGAACTGCGGCTCCATAGCTCCCCGAGCTACCAATATTAATATAACACTTAGTCGAACAGTCCTCCAGAAGTCAACTAAGTCAACTCTTGTCAAAGTCAAAGTCCTGGTCAGAGTCAACCTTCCAGGTCAACCCTACTCGCGCGAGTATGCCTACTGACTCGCCGAGTTCATATGCTCAGAGTCCTTCCATTCGTGACTCGACTCGCCGAGTCCACCGATTTCCGAGTCTTGTCCTGTCCAACTCACTGAGTCTCCACTCGAATCACTAATTCGAGTCTTAATTCGAAGGGTTCGGGGTTCCGCGACCTGACTCGCCGAGTCCCAGAACAGACTCGTCGAGTCCAAGGCAAACTTCAACAGACTCGTCGAGTTGTTCATCGAACTCATCGAGTTCCTCCCAATCCTCATACTACTCGCTGAGTCCACTCGAAGGACTCGCCGAGTCTATTCGGTCCTTCATACATTCAGAGGCTTTTGAGTCATGCAGGGACTCCAAACTGTAGATCCACTCTCCCAATGCCCATTCCCCACGTAAAGTTGCAACCTTTACGTGTAGCTAAGGAGATCTAGGCTAAACACACCACAAACTAGGGTTTAAGACAGCTATGCATCACCTACACTCTCAAGGCTGATACTTTATGACTCTATGGGCCAAGACACAACTGGAGCTGAAGGGATTCAGCTTGGGTACGTCCAAACCCGAAATGTATCATACTTGGTCCAGAATCTCATAAAGAGGGACATGAAATGATCCAACAATTAACAAGGCAAGGAAGGAACTTGATTACCAAAATAAGCAGCTAAAGAGATGAATATTCTGGATCTACAACCTTCCTCTTGAACCCTTAACTCCTTCTTCTCCTTCTAGGCTTCAAGAACACTCCAACTCTTCAACAATGGCTCACACACTCAAAGAGAGCACTAGGGTTTCGTGGAATAGCTTATGGACAATGGGGGCTACAAATGAGGCTGATAGAAGGAGAATGAGATGCTTAAATAAGGTACAAGTCCTGAAATTAGGGCTTTCTCAACCCAGACCAGACTCGCCGATTTAGTCTCCCCGACTCGTCTAGTCAATCACTTAAACCGCGACACGGATCACGCTCCGACTCGTCGAGTTCCTCCCTGGACTCGACGAGTTGACCCTTTGACTTAGGGTTTTCTTTCCTTACTTGGCCTTTCTAATTTTGGGTGTTACATATATCACTTGCAATCATGTACCATTACATAAGTCGTTTTTCTGATCAATGTTTCTCAGTAACATTACTGGAACATCAA